TGTTTTGTCACTGCTTGAAATGTTGAAAATCTTCTTTCTTGCCTTACTAAAACAACACTTTCTCAGATTTAGGATAATAATGGCATTGCACTAGCAGCTTTCTCTTCCAGTCCGGCTCTTGGTATTTTTGTTGCACAAAGAGGATGGATTGTAACAATGATATTCCATGCTTTAATTAAAATTTTCTCTTTAATACTGCATTTTCTGGTATGACTATTGACTTTTTTCCCCTCAACAATTTGTGCCTAAAGACAGACGAATTTTGTCTTGCTAAGAACTGGTACCAGTACAGATGTCCAGACCTTACATTTAATTAAGGAAGCATGAAAATTCCACTAATTTATAAGGATGCAAAGCAGCCCCGTGCCTCTCAGCTGCAGAACGACATGGCCCCTACCAACAAGAGATCTTTCATCTGCTTTTCCTCCATTTCTCCCGTTACTATGGGAACATTACAGCTGGTGGGTCAGAAAGAATGGGGGGAAAAAAAAAAGTCAGTCTGCACAATGGTTTCTAATTTTAGACTTGTAGGCAGTTATATTTTCAAAACTATACTTCTGACAAAGCTCATCACAGAGAAAGTGCTGAATGAAACGTGACCGCACACGTACAGACGGTGCTACGCGGCGGCTCGGCACGCACCCGCCCGTGGCTGCGTTTGTCGGTATTGGAACGCTCTTTCCTACTGACCAAACGCGCCTCCGCGCTCGAGAGGTGCTTCAGCAAACTGAGGGGGGGAAAACCCACACCAGACTCGAGTGTCCGGAGTGGAAGGGTGGGCTGGTAACGGAGCTCCTAAAGCCGCCCGAGTTGCTCCATCGCTGGGTGCTGTCGGCAGCTGCCCCGGCCAGGGCGAGAGCACGGCTGTGCCGACGCGCGGCAGGAGCACCCTCACTGCTGGCTGCGCGGCGCCCACGTAAGCTCTGCAGTGGTGACGCCCAAGAAACCGTCTTAATTACATATACATCTGCTTTCACTCGCAACACCTCTACACATTGTTTCTAGCCTCTGGAGCTGCTGAAAAGCACTTCAAGACCTCATATTTCAGAGACTCAGAAATAGGAAAGCAAACAAAACAAGCCAAGTTGATTTATTACAAGGAGTAAAAAACCCCGAAGGTTTATATGCCCAGCTTGGGGACCTGACTAATGATTCTAATGCCCAAAGTTGGCAATAGCGGGAACTGCTCCTAATAAAAGTTTCCTGGTAGAGCTGCAACCATTATTCTTTGATTAATATATTTGAAACCAGTTTCCCAAAAGGAATAAGCTACACTAGTAAAAAGACGTATTTATTTGCCAGTGGATATTCTGCTTCGGGCTTTACTGTGCGGCTCTGCATCTCCAGCGTAGGGCTGGGGTCACGGGAGCTGCTGCACCCCCGACCCCCAGCCCCACGCGTCCTACCTGGGGCCAGCCGCAGGCTCGGGGGCAGAGCTGGCTTACGCTGCAGAACTGGGGTCTGCTGCTGCTCCCTCCGGTCACCCCATTTACTGACCCCCCAGCATCCGCAGGAGACGGCCAGTGTTGTCCCCAGCAGTCACTTTGGGTTCACCTGGAAAAAGAAATGCTGAGAAAAGCGTTTGTATTAGCATCTTTAGCATAAACAAAATCCATAATTTCCCTGGGCAGTATCCCAGGGTCCCACAGGACGCACGGCGTCCCTTGTCGGGGGCACACGGAGCAGGACGTGACAGCCGGATGGTTCAAACGCTGCAGAAACAGAGAGGAGCCCCCTCGCCACCCCCCGCAGAGCAGCGGAGGGATGAAGCTTTCCCAGGACATTCCTGGAGCCAGAGCTGGAGAGCCCGAAGTCCCGCGCACAGCCCGGGCAGAGTGGCCAGCCCATCACACACCGCT